TCGAGGCTGCGGTGGCCGGGAGCAGCCACTGCACTCCAGTCTGGGTGACAGAGTAAGACTCCAACTCAAAAAAAAAAAAAAAGAGGACAGGCTACCACCCAGCTCAAGGGACTCTTGTGGCCAGCACATTGAAGTCAGTGCTATCGCAAGGCCATGGTGGTGTCTGTGTCACTAATAATCTCTAAGGAAATACTCCTGCTACCATGCCTAGATGTCCTTAACAAAATGCAGAAGAGGTCTGAGTGGCCATGGTCTGTCTCCCCGGAACCCCCTTGGCCTCAGAGCTACCGCACCTTGAACATGGTCAACATTGAAGCTTCAGGGCTGGGGGTGGGCCTAGGCTGAATCAGGGGTCCAGCTGGTCACAAATTCTCAGCCCTATGGGTGGCCTTCATTCCCTCAGCACGGAAGGAGTACCAGATCCTACAACAGGTTCTGCTGGTCAGTTCCCCAAGGTGATGAGGCGGTATCTTTGTTATGTACCTACTACTTGGAGACTAGTTCCCAGGTCGCTGGCCAGGTGAGGGCTGGCAAGCCAAGGATTTCACACAGACCTAGGCAGGCAGCTATGGCCACCATGATGTCAAAAAGTCAACTCCGAGGGCACACCTCATCAACAAGGGTACCTGCATAATGAACATTCGCATATCTAGCCCTGAATTGTACCCATTAAAAAAAAAAATCAACTCCAAGTTCCCATTCCTTCTATCTCCTCTCCTCCCTCTCCTTCCCCCCTACTTTCCTGCCCTCTTTGCCTACTGGCCTCAGTGAGCACCCAAGCTATAGAGGTTCAGAAAGACCTCTGAAATAAGAATAGTTAGCCTCTCCACACCCCCACACCAAAAGATGACAGGACACAAAGAAAATGATCCTTTTCTAAATCAATACAATTTCTCAAATTTATTTTTTTCTTAAAGAAGTACTTCTAATCTCTGTCAAAAGGGAGGTGAGGTAAGGTCCTCCCTCCCTTGTAAACACTGAAATACAGATCTGGGAAACCAGGATCAACACACACAAAAAGTGCATTTTACAAAATATCAACTAAAATATATTTTACATGGATTATGCGTCCATTGAAATTCTACCAGCTGCATTTTCAGGTTCGAAAAAATATTTCCACATCTAAGAGATTTCAAAAGCATTTAAAGTTCTGGGCAGCAGACCCTACCCCCTGGGAGGAGGGGACTTGATTTCCTCTCCTGTTGGGGGAGGCTGAGCTCCTTAGCAGCAAGGGCTCAGCACCCTGGGAATGAGCAGGCTCTGAGGTTGGCTCTCCAGAGCCCCCCTGCCACTCTGCCAACCTCTCTTACCGCCCCATCCTCCCAGATGGACACCTTCCTCCAAACAGCTTATTCAATACAAGGAGACCTAAGTCCCTTCCCTTCAGGTTTGGGATCCAGCTTCCCAAGCATAAATTCACCTCTGAAGTCTCCAGGCCCAATGACCAATCAGGAGCAAACCTGTCTTCTAAGGGACAGGGCAGGGCATGGGGGTTTTCAGGGGCACTCAGGATTCACTTCCACCTCCCTCTGCAGCTCTTGCCTGAGTGTCCTCACCCAGTGCCACTTCCTCAGCCTGCTGGGTCTGTCTGTCCCTTCTCCCTAAGGGAAGACCCAGTGCTGCCCTTCCTGGCTCCTGCCCCCGGGCTATGCCCTTGTGGAAGTGCTTAGCTAGCAGGGTCCCAGCACCAGGTCCAAGCCACACTGCACTCCACTACTCTCCCCACCATGCTCCTCTTTGGTACAAATAGGAAAAAACCGGGCCATGCTACCCCCCTCACAAGAGGGCCAGGGCCGGGGCCTAGTCCAGGCAAGGACAACAGGGGTCTAAGCCCTCTGGAGAGCAGCATGAGGTGAGAACAGGGCCTCTGGGCAAGAGAAACAAACCGAAAATGCAGGTCCTTAGCTCTGAAAGTGAGTGGCTGCAGCTCAGCAGGTCTGTGGACTGATACAGTGTTGATTCTCGCTGGGATGTAAATTAGTGCAATCTACAAAAGACTAGGGTAAGGGTGGCAGGGCAAGGGGAGCCACAGCACTCCTTTGGTTTGATTTCAGGTGGGTGTGGCTTGAAGAGTCATGTGTGAAGTTCTGCAAGAGGTTTCCTGGAACCTCCAAGTGTAAGGCAAGAGGAAAAATCTTCAATAAATCAGGTAGCAATTTTCCTTGCCCCCTGCCCCCACCCTTTCCCAGCACCCAGCTGCCCTCCCAGACAGGACAAACCCCACATTAATCAGTTAACTTTCTGGGTGGCCCTCTCCAGGAGAAGGACAGGAGACTGACTCCCACAAGTGGGCCACACCCATGACTGTGAGGGCCGGGTCAAATTGTCCCAGCACCAGTGGCTACTGCAGGGGCAAAGGTGGAAAGCCAGAGAAAGGCCTCAAGTCCAGGAAGAGGAATTCAATGCTCTGGAAGCCACACTCTGGCTCGCTATGCCGCAGAGGAACAAGCTCAGAGCTGTGCTGGAATCTGGGAGAGCCTGGTCCCAGGCTGAGGGGGAAGCAGTGGGTCACAGTGGGTGAGGTAAAGCTGGCTCCCACTCCCCCTTTGAGGGCGGGGGAGGGCTCCAGAAGGGCCTGTTGAGCCTGATTCCTGAAGGACCTTGCCCCTCCTCCCTGCCCCCTTCCCTCCTAGGGTTCCATGTCCCTCAGGCTTGGCCTAGCCCTGGAGAAGACTGCTTCTTCAGAAGTCTCCACCCAGTGTACCACAGACAGGTACCCTAAGGCCGAGCTGAGGGCTCCGACACTCTTCTTATACCCTGGCCTCCCCTTCCCTCCCATGGGGCCCAAAACCCAGAGGCCCCTGCCCTCCCCCCACAAGAGAACCACAGGCCAGCAACCTCGGACCCCTGTGGCCCCTTAACCAAGTGCTGTGCTTCAAGCAGTGCCCCCTGCCCCAAGCCCCACTTGCTCATGGGAAGCCCCAGTGTGGGCTTGAGGCTACTGGGGGTTCTTGAGAATGCGGCCATGGCGAAAGTCATAGACATGGCGGCAAAGGAACACCAGCTCAGGGTCCGTGTCCTCGGGCACTGTGCGGTGTGGCGGAGTGGAGTAGTCTGCAGAGGGGGGCACCAGTGCTGTCTTTCGGCTGGGGAGGCCCTCGCCTCGGCGCTTGGCCATGGCACAGAATCTGTAAGTGATATACCAGTCACTGCCTTTATCCTAGCCATCTTTGCAGGAAGACCAATTCCTTTCCCACCCTGCCCAAAGAGCTAGGCTATCCCCTCTCGTCCCCCAAGGAATGGTGCTGCCTCCACCTGTCCCAGGGGCTATGCCTGCTTTGCCAACCACCAGTCTATCTTCTCTGTCACTGGGGAACCACACCTGCTAGGGCCTCCCTCCAATCACCTGCCAATTCTCCTAAATTTCCTCCAAGAGCAGTACTGTACCCTCCAACTCTACTCCAACCATTCTACCTAAGTGGGGCAACAATTTTTCTTCTTTCTTCTAAATCAATCAGATTGTGGAAGCAGGCCATAAGAAAGAAAGTTCTAGAGATTAGGCCCAGAGCAGAATGAGATCCCCTTAGGGAATTCCTGGTAGCATCCATAGCCCAGGAAGTCTGAGAAGAGAGGCCAGCCAGAGGGTGCAGGGTACCACCCACCTGCAGTACTCAGCAAAGGTCAGCACATAGCACTTCTCCTCAATGCAGGCCACACTGTTCTGGTCCTGATGTCGCGACGCAAAGACTTCATTCTGCAAGGGCTCAAAGGAAGACAGGTAGAGGTTAGTTCCCAGGGCTGGACAGCACCTACCTCCAGAAGCAGGGCAGACTGCTGACCTGAGATGACTCCAGCAAGCCAGGGAGCTTTCCCGGAAACTCAACCCAAGTGTGCCTCACCTACAGTCCCCAGGCACTCCTCCTAGGTCCTGTCCTTCTCAGGAGCAGCCAGGTAACTGATCCAGTCCCTGGTCATCACTGGCCTCCTGACCCCACAAGCCCTGCCCAGGGGAGGAAAAGGGAATTGGTGCCCATCTTCCTAGTTAGGTGAAAAGTCCCTGCAAGGGGAAACGAAATAAAAGCTGAGCACAGACCACACCCAGACTGCAGTCACTTCTCAGCACAGCTTGGTGGAAAGCGTAGAGGGCGTTGGGAGGAGTCTTTACTCTCCTCCCTCTCATACTGCAGACAACATTCAAGGGGGCTAGGTGTGTAGCTCATTTCACCTTTCCTGTTGCTAGGACACAGCCACTTGTTTCCGCTGGTATCCCTGCTCCCAGGGGCTCTTTCTGATCCCCTTTTAAGACAAAGGTTATTATTCCCTTTGAAACATGAATTGGGGCAGTGTTAGGAAAAGAGGCTAAACCCTGGGCCCTTCCCCAGGTTCTCTGGAGTCCAAGGAGACAAATACAGGGACCTGACTCCCACAGCTGCCATGTCCTAGTACCACATACCATGTTTTAGTGCCACAAACTCTCCCTCTGCCACTCCTGCCCTCCCCGACCCATGTGCCAGGCAGCTCACCTCGTGCATGCTGGGACTCCGGCCTCCCTGTAAGTGCTCAGGTCTGTAATACCACAGGAGGCTCATCATCAACTCTCCTGGGAAGACAACAGAAGTGGTCATGGCTTGAGCTGGCAACCTGCGTGACTTAGATAGGCAGACAGGCTGGCTGCCTGCCCTGCAGAGTCATCCAACTTCAATGCCTGGGTCAACCCTGCAGGCTCTGGCCACCTGCGTCCCCCGCCCCAGGCCAAGCATTCAGTGGCCTGAAATGCTATTAGGCATGGAGGGAGAAGTGGGGGAAAGGCACTGACAGGTGAGGTGGGGGGACCCATGCCTAGGCCCTGTTGACTGGAAAGGTTAATGAGCTGATCCAACCCAAGCCACAAGGTCGTCCACAGCCCTCGGCAGCAGACACGAGCTGAGTGGAAGGCAGACTCTGTGCCAGGAACACAGGGAGACCTGTGCCAGGTCAAACTCTAGGCAAAGGCTGACATGGGGCCTACAGTCCTGCAAGGCAGCTGCCCCTTGGGTCCCCCTAGAAGGAGGGGTACCTGACTCGGGGTTCTCCCAGAGGGCAGAGATCTTGGCCACATAAGGTGTGGATGTCTTTCGCGGGCCTGACTTGAGGAGGACAGTGTCCCGGACTCGGATTGTCTCTCCATGCCGCTCTACCGCCTGGTAACTCTTTCGGATGGCTGGTTCCGGCTCATCCTAGGCAACAAACCAATGACACAAACAGGCTTACAGGGCCACATGCAGGGTGAGGACTGAGGGAGTGAAGGAATGGCAACCTATGATTTCCTCAGGGTGGTCAAACCACTAAGCATGTTTGCAGGTTGGATCCTTCTCCTCAGCCTGGCTTTCAGGGACAGGATGGGGATGGGGAATTCCCATGGTTGGAGACAGGATGGGAAAGGGGAACAAGGGTGGAAAAATGGACTGACACTTCTGGGGCTGAGCTCTGACCACCACACCCCTGACAGATGACTCTCTCAACCCCAGTCCTCCAGCACTGGGTTAGTGTTCACTTCCTAACAGAACAATCTGGGTCTGAACCCTTAAACCACTGTTTTAAGTGGCATAGCTTCGGACAAATTATTTAATCTACTGCTCAGCCTCAGACTCCTCATCTGTATAATGAGGATAATGATAGGGACATGGGGTATATACTACATGTGGTAGTGGTGAGGATTACAGGGAGTAATACATGCAAGGTGCTCAGCTCAGTTCTGATATCTAAGAAGTACTCAATAAATTTTAGCTGACATTCTTTTTATCATCCCAGATGTTCTCTGTATCACTAGTTTTTTTCTGCCCACCCCAACTTCCCCTATACCCACTTACTCCGAAAAGTCCTCCATTTTACAACCCAGGATGGAAGGGACCAAGTAAGCAGGGATGGGAGGGGAAGACACTTAGATGATTGCCCTGAGTCAGTAACAGAGATGTCAGTCAGTCACAGCTGGTGACTGACTGTGCATCCTCTGACCTCCTCAGTGTGTCTGTTACAGGATCAGTAGGGGCTAGAGGAGCAGGCCGAGCCAACACAACCAATTTCTGGGCTGCAAGTGAATTGGAGCCCCTTGTCACCTCTCAGAATAGCTAGAACCAGGGGCTCCTGGTACCCACCTCACTGTGGGGCATGTGTCCCTCCGCCATCCTCCCTTTCCTCATCAGCTAAGAGCTGGCACTCACCAAGACATACACAGCCTTCTCACAGGCAGCCCCAACAGGCACCCAGCCATTAGTGCGGCGGCGGCGGCGGCGGCGAGGGCGTGGGCGCTGGACACGTGGCTGCTTTGGGTGGCTGGGCCTACGGGCAGCCTTGCTCCTAGCAGTGTGCCGGCAGCTGGAGCCTGTGCGCAGACCTGACTTGGAACCGCTGGGAGGTTTGGCGCTCTGAGGGCACGCACGGGCTACTGTCTGAGGCTCTGAGGTGGGTGTCTGAAGATGGGGGACAGGCTCTGCTGCAGGTGGCACACTGGGTACAGGGCATCCCAGGAGGGGATGGGCGGGTGAGGCTGGGTGGCCAGCTTCCGGGAGAGGAAATTCCAGCTGGCCCAGAGACCTACAGCCTTCTAGGAAAAGGAGAGAGTAGGTCAGGACAGGATAAGCAGTAACCCCTTGCCCATATGCTTTCAGAGTCTCCTCCTGGCTTAAGTCTAAGTATGCACTCAAAGGCCACTGAGATGGCAGATCAGAGGACTTTATGGTGAATTGTCAGAGTGACTGTCCAAAGGGCAGGGGTATTTCTTGATCTTGGAGCCTGACCATCTCCCCTTTTAGCCTGAAAGAGTAGTAGTAGGTACATCTTCTTTAGCTCTGATGTAAACTTCTCTAAGTCTTCCACAGTGCTTTGGAGTAGGGGTTCTAGAGTCAGGCAGTCTGGGGACCTGTTACCAGCTGCGTAACCGCAGGCAAGTCACCTTGCCCTTCAATGCAATATAAACAGTAGCTATGAATGTCTTACATATTTGTAACTGGCTGTTTTTCTTATGAATGTATTGATTTATTTCATCCTTACAACAACCATGTGCGGATGACCCTCATTTTACAGTTAAGAAAACTGAGACACAGCAGTTACTGACTTGTCCCACGGTCACATGCTAAGGAGGTGGTAGAGAACATTTCACTTCAGGCAGTCTGGCTCCAGAGTCTGTGCTCAATTACATGCCAAACAGCCTCCCACATGTAAAGCACTTAGAACAGTGCCTGGCACATCATGTTTACTGGTGTCCTTGGTATCAGGGAGAGGGGGTAAGAATCTAGACTGAGGAGTGGTACAAAAGAGAAGGAAAAATTCACAAAGAAGCCAGTTCTCATTTCTTAGAGCTCTAACTCACACCAGTACCTGAAACAACCAGTCTGGCCAGAGCCAAGTGGTCTATAAAGTTGTTTTATAGACCCCCTACAAGAAGAGGTGTGGGATGAGTGGAAAGCTCTGGGAAGGCCCGGCCCTCACCTCCCCAGCAGCAGGACAGACCTGCTGGCCAGGATGACTCTGGTCACCTCATTTCCATCCAGGAGCTAGGGAGGAAGCTTGGGGAGGCAGGTGAGGATACCTACCAGTCTAGGGGAGAGAAATGACTTTGGGATTTCTCAGTAGGTGGAATAAGAGCCTCTCAGGTAGTCTGGGTCTTGCTAGGAAGGCAGACTCCAAAGCTGTGGGCCCTGATACCATCCTGTCCATGCCAGGGAACTCTGCTTGTTGGTTCTCAAGGTGTGCCCACTCTGTCCACACCTAGCTAGGTTATGCTAAGTCTGAGCACTTCTTTTCTTTCAAGGCCTGTATAGCCAGGGCTAAGCTGCCCCAGTGCAGTTGGTACCACCTACTGAGCCTAGTAACCATTACCCTTCTCACAAATGCTGAACTAGGCCGACATGAAAAGGTATTGGCTTCTGGAAAGTAAGGAATTCTAGAAGAGGGCAGAAGGGACATGCGAACAATTTGGTAAATGCCCTAACTTCAATATCTAATTTGCTACTCAGTGTCTAAGACCGGGTATCCTGATGAGGAGGGAGGAGAGGACCCTCCTGTGGCCTCCACCTAACTGCCTGGCCATGAAATCTCCACAGACAGCCAGGGCAGAGCAGGGCAGTCAAGAACTAAACATGGGGCCCCTTTCCTGGGAGTGGTCCTAGGCCTGGGGCACAGGCTAGGGGAGTTATCCCTTCCTCTACCTTTCAACTAGCTGCTAGACCCCAAGGGGACCCCTGCCCAGAACCACCACCCACTCTCCAGGGATGCCATGTTTCAGAGACTCCCCAGTACCTTCCCACCCCCAGGAAGGCTTACCTGCTGCAAAAGGCATTTTGTAGGGGCAGCCGCCACAGGCAGTGCCAACATGGGTGAGAGACAGGGGCAACACTCCGCAGATGCTGTAGCCATTCACTCCAGTGTCCTCGCTAGAGCAATAGCGAGAGGAGCCCCAGGGAGGGTGCTGGAAAGGGGTGCCTGAGGGCACTGAGCTTGGGGCCAAAAGGAGACTCTCATTAGGTGCAGCCACTGGGGACAGTTTGCCCTCAGGGAGCATGGGGCAGGGCAAGTAGCCCCCACACTGCAGCCCATCTTGGCCACAGCACAGGTAGAAACTGCCTAGTGCAGTGAGCTCAGGCCCAACACACAGGCCATTGTAGTCAGCGGGGTTGCCGGGCATTGGCAGGGGGGACAGCTGAGGTGTGGGGAAAGAGGGCTGGTGCAGTTCCTGCTTCGGAGCAGGTGACTCCTCTCCTGGGCGCCCAGGTTCTGGCTTCAGGGCTGCCTGCCCACCCATCAGCAGTGGGAGGTGGGGGCGCAGCCTCAAGGGGCTCTCCAGAGTCTTGCTCAGGGCCTGGTAAGGTGGCTGGACGGATGGCCCCCGAGGAGTGGCTGACGGCCATGGCTCATCAGGGCGCCCTTGCCAGCCGGGTGGGCCTGCAGCTTCCCCAGAGCCAGTCCCATGCCGGGCCTTGGGATAGTTCTTGCCACTGATCTTGGCCCACTTTGGCCTCAGGGCCTTGGGTGCTGGGGGCTCAGTGGAGCGCCCATCTGCTTCTGGGTGAGTACGAGGGAGCCGCAAGGGTAGCTCTCGTTCCTGGCTCAGCTTTAGGAAGGCAGCTGCGTTCAGGCTAGCCAGTCTCTTGGGAGCTGGGTCTCCATCTTTGCGGGTGCCTTCATCTGGTGCTGGTTCTGGGGATAGGTCCCGACTTCCACCTCCAAGGTCCCCCAGCCGGGGTCGCTTCTTGGAAGAGGACCAGCCCCCAGTGGCCCGGTCACGATCCCGGCTGCGGTGGGGGTCTCCTGCTCGACTGCGGCGGGTGCCTGCCAGGCTGCTGGTGTCCTCTCGCTCCAGCAGCAGGTTATTGAGGGCTTCAGCATTGAGGGAGGCTAGACGCCGCTTGCGGGGCTGGGCAAGACCAGGGTCCTCACTGGATGGGGCTGGGCTGGGGGGCTTGGGCAGGTCAGGGGGCAGCTCATCAGCCTCATCTGCACTCTGGGGACCAGCCACATTCTCCAGGCGGGTCAGCAGCACTTTGCAGGCCTTGGGCTTCTCAGGAACCAATGGGCGCTTACGAAGTGGGTAGTTCTTGCGGCGCCCTGTGAGCTGCCCTGGGCTCTCAGGCACACCTGGCTCCACACCCTCAGCCCCCTGCTCCATATTGCTGTCTTCCATCTGCAGGGGCTCTCGGCGGCCAGTGGGGCCGGAACTCAACATGGGAAGGGACTTCCTCCGAGTGTGTGTCATGGAGTACTTCCAAACTGCAGAACAGAGGACAGGCAATGAGAGGAGCTTTCCCTAGCTTGTCCTTGCCTGCTTTCTCCCCGTCCGCAGCTACCTAGCCTCAACTGCAGTAACTCTGGTCTACCCTTATCCTGTCTCCAGGATGGATTTTCCCAGGACCCCTCCTTCCAGAATATGAAGACCCAGTGAAATGAGGCTACCAGCAGCTGTGCAAGGGCTGGTACCTACTCTCTCCTTTTAGCCTAGGGTCTCTCTGAATTAAGCCCCTGAAGAGCTCAGGGAGCAATGCAGACACCAGGGTCAGGGAAAGGAGGAGCTGGTGGCAAAGCTCCCTGTTCTCGCCACCTGTTCTTTTCCCACTAGATACTCATCACAGGACGAGGGAGGCTCAGAAAACAATGAGCCAGGATGGGGGCTTGGGTGGTAGGAGCCCATCTATTCCTTTAAAAGTATTACCTGCCTGAGCCCACGGGTTCGAGACCTGCCCAGGCAACTTGGCAAGACCTCATCTCTACAGTAAATCAAAAAATCAGCCGGATGTGGTAGTGCATGCCTGTAATTACGGCGACTCGGAAGGCTGAGCTCAGCAGGTCGAGGCTGCAGTGGCTGGGAGCGGCCACTGCACTCCAGTCTGGGTGACAGAGTGAGACTCCAACTCAAGGAAAAAAAAAAAAGTATTACTAAAGTATTACTGGTCCCCTCTCCCAACAAAGGGCTCCCAAGATTGGCTACAAGAGGCAAAGGAGAAGGACAGTGAAGAGTTGAGATGGGGAGCCTGCCTGCTGGGCTGTGGAGAAGGCAAAGTCCTGCCCGTGAGGACTCCTTACTTGCCACATAAAGTAAGACAGCCATGACTTGGGTCTTGCCAGAAAAGCCCTATGAAGGGAGAAGACCTAGCTTTGAGGAGCCATGGTTGTGGAGGTCTCAGCCAGCCCTAAGAGCCAGACCCATTCTGGTTCAAATTCCAGGGAACGGCAGCCCAAAGAGTGCCAGTGCCAGTGCCTGGGGAAGAGTGTCCTAAGGCTAGTATCGGCATACTCCTGGATGTAGGAAATTCAGGGACTGTTCACTGGACGTGTGGTACAGCTTTAAACCCCTGCCATCCACGAAGAGTTGGAAAAAGAAAGTAGCAAAGAGAAGAATTAATGCAGGGGACAAATGGGCTGCCTTGTTAGTCGTACCCTGTTTCTCAGTTCTTCCTCTTGTAGGCAAGATGCCAGGCAGGAAGCAGGATGGGGGAAGGTGGGGAAAGAGTCTCAGAATGCCCTGAGCCCAACAGAAAATGCCCATGACCAGGCATCATCCCCTAAGTTTCCTTGGTTTGGCAAAACACCACCCCAACATACTATACTAGAGCAGCCTGGGCCCAATTTCTGAGTTAAACAGGCCAGCGCTGGCTGTGCACTGGAGGCCGGCATGGCCAAGGTAATGAAGAACTGCAGGAGTGGTGGGGGGACTGGTGATTAGGGACCACTGAGCTGTTCACTTCCTACCTACTCCTGAACCCAAAGCACAGGCACTGCCAAGTAAGGTGCCAGACAAGCTCTGCCCCTCACCAGGCACCCGTGACCCCTCCCCACCCAGCAGGCCCAGGCTTTTCAGCTTAATTTCCCCACTGCTATTGTTATTCACACTCACTCTACAGAGGAGCTGGGAACAGCCCCTGCTGGCCAGGATTTAACCCTGAAAGTCCCAAGCCTGAGAGTTCCCAGGGATTCCTGAGTCCTTCCCAGCTAGCTCCTGTAGTCTTGGTCAGGTGGCTGGGGTCACTGGGTACTTTCTCTCTAGAGACATGCTGTAAAGTTGAGATAAAGTGTTTAGAAAACCAGACTGAGGACAGTGTGGGCAACCCTCACCCTGAAAAAGGACAGAAAAACAGGAAAGGAAAGGCAGCATGCCAGGCTTTGCTCTGGCCACGTGCGGGGACTTGCCACTGTCCAGAGACCGGGCCCCAGGCAAGACAGAGTCACAGAAGGCAAATCCATTCATTCCTGAAGCACAGACAGAGAGCTCCTAAAAAATCCCAGGCATCTGCTAGGCTCCATAAGACTTTTCAGCTTCTAATCAGGGAGGCCACCCGTCCCTGTCTGCTCAGTGTGCTTTTGGCAATGCCTCCTTTTACTCTCAAAAGCATCCCTATAACCCACAGGCCCTTTTCTCAAACCAAGGACACCCCTGTGCAGAAGCAGAGGAGCAAGCAGAGAAACAGCAGAAGCACATCTGTATTTCCCCGGGAAGCTGGGATCCAGCCCTCTGCCACTCTCAAGGGGCCTGGAGATGGAGGATGAGTGAACAGACCATGCAGCTGAGCAGGGGCTGAGGCCCCTCAACAGACTCCAAGTTACCAGAGGGACTGGGCCTGGGAATGGCTGAGGGCCCAGGCTGAGATCACCTGGGATTGTGGCCTTTGAGGACAAGGACACCAAGTATGGAGTAGGGAGGGGGTGGATGGGAAAGAGAGAGCACAAGGGTGTGCTTTCAGGTCTGGCTAATGGAAGCACCCTAAGCTGGGACTGACTGGGTACCCTTGCCTCCAGCTTGCTGGAGGACTGGCTGTACGGGGTGGATGGTCCCCAGATACTGGGACAACTGCCTCCACTCAGAGTCTTTCCCTCTCAACACAAAAAGGTCCCAAGAGGGAGAGGGGTGAAGGGGAGGAGTCAGTGTCTTGACTATCCACCTTCCACTTCCTGGACCCTATCTCCAGAACCTTTGAAAAGTTGTTCCCCGTAGACTATCTTGTGCTTTAACCTCCCATTCAGATCCACAGTCCCTCAGGGACACCCACTACCCCTTCTGGGGGGTGTGTTAAGATAATCCTGGGAAGCCTCTGAATCACAGGGTGCAAGTCACATTTCCAAATCAAGTACAAGAGCCTCCTACTAGCCACCCTCGAATCTGCCAGATCCCCTGTCACTCGCTAAAAACACCCAAGGCCATCAAAAGCACATTGCAAAACAACTTCTAGCTTTCATGTGGTGTAAAGTCACTCAGCCACTCAGCATCCTGAGGAGAGGCTGGGGTCTCTGCTGCCTGCCTCTTACTGTACTCCAATCTGGGGAGAGCATGTGTGAGTCATGCTTTGAAGCCAGATGAGCTTGGCTACAGCATTTTCCTGGGGTGTGGCTGGGTGGAGGGGATCCTAGCCTGTCAGGGCCCCTCCAACCCGCAGGGGATGATCCAGCTGGGTTAGATGGTGAAAAATCCCAGGAAAACTGCGCGCTTTGGTTCCCCTTCCAGCCCCGCCAGTCCTCCTGCTGTCCCTGCCACTTCTGCACTAGCTCACCCAGGAACTTTCTATCACTGCCAGGGTAGTTATCTCAGCGCTATTTCTTCCTCTCTGGGAAGCTCTATCCTCTCAGACACAGATAGTCCAGGTCTCCTCGGGAGAAGGTTCCTAGAAGGGACTCCCTAGGACATATTACTCTCACCTAGACATGTCAAGCAAGCTCTCACTGGAGAAAACCAGTCTAACTGTCCCCAGCTCTGACAAAACAGCCATAAAAGAGAGTGGCTGACTGGTGGGCCTCCAGGCCAAAGACCCAGAGAATCACAGGTTAAATCCCAAATCCTCAGAAGTGTACTCTGAACACAGTAAATAGGCCAGCTCTGCCTCAGGTGTACTGGGATTTCAAATTTGAGGAGGAGATCAGGGCCAGCTTAAGTGACACGGTGTGGTCTGGGCCTTGGTATTGCTCGAGGCTGCCCAGGGTAGAAGTCTGTGGCATCTGCCTCTGTCACAGAAGCAGAAAGGAAGAGCTGCTCTGTCTCTGACCCTCAAGCTGTAGCTACACCATGTGCCAATCCCCACCAGCATGAGCAGAGCATATCCAAGGTACTATGTGCCTGGCTGAAGGCTCAAGCAGGGGAGAGTCAGAGGCCAGGAAGAGCATGGGTCGCTGGCACCACTGCAGGGAAAATGAGGGTAGAGGCCTGGGAGGGCAGGTCACAGCCCAGCAGAGGCTGCCCTGGAGTGAGAAAGGCCCTCAGCCGTGGCCCTGCTCTTCCCTTACTTACCCAGTCCTGGGCTGTACCCCGTACCCCATCCTCAGGGTTTCAGGGCCCAAGACTCTGCCCCACTGCCCTTCCTGAATCCTCTTACCCACTGCACTTCAAATTTTGCTTTCAGGCTTTCTTGGTTTATTTTTAATGGAAGAGAAGTATTCAGTGGTGGGTCTTAGGTAAGGGCAGCCCAACCAGGCGGTCCTCAAGCCACCTCCCTCCAATTACAGTTAAAACCACACAACTGGAACTGAGCTAAGCATTTTCTCTTGGACTAACCTCTCCCACCCCTGAAAGGAATAACATTTTGTCATGAGCAGTGTTTCTTGAATCTTCTATCAGAGATGAAAAGTGGCAAGAGCACAAAGGCAGGCTCCCTTTCATTTAAATGCAGTTGATGTTACTTTATGGAGAAACAGAGAGGTAAAGCTGCTGAAATTCTTACGGGAAAGCCAGGTACAGACGTGGCTGGTATCTACTAAATTTTTTAAAGAGTTGGTAAAATGGGAGGAACCAAAGATTTAAATCAGGCAGACCTGGATTTAAATGCCAGCTCTGCCCCTCATAAGCAATTTATTTAACTTCTTTGAACTTCATAGTCCTCATCTAAAATGGACATTCCAAAAAGAGCCTTACTTCAGAGTGGAGGTGAGGACAAGTCACTGTGTGTGAGCCTGGCAGAGACTAGGAACAAGGCAGACCAACCTCCCTACCCCTCCTCCAGACCAACAGAGGAGGGCAGTGAGCCTTGGCCTGGTGATTCCCCATAGCAGGAGTACAGAGTGGCTTCCTACTGCTGCACTAAGAAATCTGAAAACCCAGCCTGTCCCTGCACTCTGCTCTGCTACTATCCTACCTGTCCAGGTAAAGATGATGACACTGCACCTTCGCCCTTGCAGAGCCCTGTGAGGGTGAATCACAGGGGGCTGTTTACAACACAGCAAGAGGGCAGGGACAGAAATTGTATCCCAACAGACCCTGAACAGTTCCATGCCTCCAAGAAATACTCAACTTTATG